CCCCGACGGTGCGGGTTCAACCTAATGCGGCAAGGGCGCCCGCCTGAACCCCCGTTGCGTTACAATATTTAGAGTTTATAATGACAGCAGACAAAAAGACACTCGCTCACCAGAAATCCGCATGGCCCCCAGGACACGTGTTTCGTCAAGGAGACAGGGGAGCACGTGTCCTGGAGGTCTGGGGCAGAGTGGACAGAACTCCAGGGGGCGGGAGTGGTGCCCACCGGCCTGGACAAGGGGACACAGTTCCTGCTGTGGCTGCTGCCGTCCCTGATGAAACAAGGACTGTGGAACGGGGGGAAAACTCTCATCCGGCACAACGCAGAGCAGGGAGCGAGGGAGCTGGAGGAGAGGATCGCAGAGGGAGGCTGAAGAGCGACGTCGCCACATGGGGCTTCTCCCCGAGGGAGCGCTGGACAGGGACTCAAGTGGGAATCCCTGTTCCCTGAGGAAAAGGCACGGACAAACGCAAGTGGGACTTAGAGCGACTCCTTCATTGTGCAAATGCAGCCCCATCATCCACTTGCAGGGATTGATCATGGGCAATCACCTGATCAAGAAAGGTTGTAATTGATGTCAGTTTAGTAATTTGTTAGAATGCATACCTATTGTGAGATGTTTTTTTTTGTGAAATAAAGTTTATTTAAATAAAATAATAATTATTATTATTGCCACTTATATAGTGTTTCTGGACACTCCACTCAAAGCGCTTTACAGGTAATGGGGATCCCCTCCACCACCACCAATGTGCAGCCCCACCTGGATGATGCGACGGCAGTACGCTCCCCACACACCAGTTCTCGGGGGGGGAGGAGAACAGAGTGATGAAGCCAGTTCAGAGAATAGGATTATTAGGAGGCCATGATTGGTAAATGCCAGGTGGAAATTCGGCCAGGACACCGGGGTTACACCCCTACTCTTCTTGAGAGACGCCCTGGGATTTTTAATGACCACAGAGAGTCAGGACCTCGGTTTTACGCCTCTTCTGAAGGACGGCGCCTGTTTACAGTATAGTGTCCCCGTCACTATACTGGGGCATTAGGACCCACACGGACCACAGAGTGAGCACCCCCACCTCTCCCAGCAACACCCTTAGCTTTCCCAGGAGTCTCGCCTCCAGGTACTGACCAGGCTCACACCTTCTGCCCTTGAGTCGGTTACCAGGTGTGAGTTGCAGGGTGACATGTCTGCTGGGACTGTGGAAGAAAACAGGAGCCCCGGAGGAAACCCCCGTTACGTGACCCCAGCAATTGAACCCAGGACCCCTGCAATGCTAACCACTGCGCCACCGTGCCGCTTAACTTAGGAGCAACGCATTTTTAAATAAAATATTCACCCCGGTCTCATCCCTCCCTAAAGCACCGGCTCTTAATCGAAGACCCTCCGCCCGCAGCGTCATGGACCACCGCGAAATCTCTGCTCGGACGTCTGTTTAAATCGCGCGTCCTTACAGAGTGGCCGCATAACATGTGAAATCTCTGGTAGGAAAGTGTAAGAATCTCGTATTTAAAAACTGAATACGAGACAATTTGCGATTCAACTTCTGATCAGAAAAAACCCCCCGAGAATGTAAACATTGAAACTTGATTAATTTCAACCTG